CATCTGAACAGCTGATTTCCTTGGTACAGTAATTGGCCGGGACAAACTTACAATGCTTTTCAAACTAAGAAATAAGAAGAAGATTCATTGTTATACCACACATTTGCCAAATGTACATGAAGTACGTAACATTAGTAGTCAAAGGGACGAGGTAGTGCGGCCTTCTCTCAATGAAAGGTTGTGGGTTCGATCCCAGCCCTGTGCTGTCAACATGTCGATGTATCCTTGGGCAAGATTTGAGAATGTGTGTGAATGTACTTACTTAAAGGTGGGGTAGGTAATTTTGGAGAAACCATCTCGAGTGCGCTAGAATTTGAAAATACACAACCGGAAAAAATCTGCCCCTTCCTTCAGACTTCCTTACAGAGCCCCTCCTCCAACACACACGAACGCACACATGACCAATGAGGGCACGAGATAAGTTTGTGCACAGATGGAAGGCTGACAGGCAGGTAGGCCATCCAGTTACTTTAGCCGGGCCGGCTCAGATGATTGGTCGTGCTTTTTACAGCGCCACGGCTTCCACAAATGAATTTTTTAATGTATTTATTGTCAAAGCATTTAATATATTCATTGCTAACGGGATGTTAAGAGCATTCCATGGAATATAACAAAAAGTGTTTCTGAAATAAATTACATAACCCACCTTTAAGTTAAGTTAACATTGGAGTAAATGGCGTTGCTCTGAATGAATGGGGTGTGAACGGTTGAATGATGAGCGCTTTGAGGGGTCGTAAAGACTGAATACACGCTATATCAATACAGTCCATTTTACCTGCAGTCAGCCTATATTGAACTTTTATAAAGTTTCCTCCAACCCAACAACTCACAGAATGACTGATTTTGTTGTTTCTGTAAATGTGGTTGTTGTGGCGTTATGGTTGTACTGACTTTGTGCTTGCCATCTGCGATTTTTAGAGAACCAAGGTTTTGTTTTTGTACCTGATCCTCTAAAAATGTCAGTAAAAAGCACTGTTTGAGGATGTGAGGAGGTATTTATGTGTGTACGAACAACTGCTTGTTAAAGACTATGGAGCAAAGAAAATCAATCAAATGAGGAAATGATTTGTGAAAAGATTAGTTCAAGAAAAGTTTGTCATTTTCACTTTTATTCGTAGAGTTTGTGCTGTTTGTTTGTTTGATACTTCTCTAATAGGTTGGTAAAAGTGTTGTTTTTATATGTGAGGATCTTTATTCATGTTTGTGAATGGTTATGGATCCCAGCACATATTCAATGATTACATTTGTCTAATAATTTACATTTTTTAAGTGTATTTGATAGTATATTTGTTTTAATTGGTGTCCACTTTTTACTGTTATTATAAGAGTGTGTGCTGGTTGCTTGTGTGTACCTGATACCTTTCTAAAAGGTCAGTAAAAGCGTTGTTTGTAGATGTGAGGAGGATCTTTATTTGTGTTCGAATGACTGTTTTTGAAAGGTTATAGATCCCAACACATATTCAATAACAGTTTTGCTAAAGTTTGTAGATGAGACTTCGCTATTAGATTGGTAAAAACACAGTTTGTAGACGTGGGGAGGATCTGTGATGTCGTAGGAGGTGTTGAAACGACTTTGTTTGTGAATATAAAATCATGCAGCTGTGAAATGTTCCCTAATTTGTTATCCTGTAAGATCAAAACAAACTCTCAGCGGGAAGCCTCCGGACCTGGCTCTAGTTCTGGACCGGCTGTTGCTGTTTCAGCGTTTGCTCGGCGCCACACTGTTAATACTCTACACTTTAACTTTAGTGAAGGTCATATTGAGGGATTCTGACACTTCAGTCTGAGCTGCTGTCAGTGTCTTCACGCTGGATGACAGTTTCTGCTGCTGCTGGATGACGGGGTCGATATCGATCCGGTGGTCCTTACTGCTGACAGGTCTGAGGGGGGGGGGGGGTAGCTGAGTCAGGGAGGAACTGCAATTTGCATTGATGAGCCGAGACAATAACTGGTAATCCGTCGATAGACACAGAGACACCTCTGCACAGTGATGTCAGCTCTCACTCTGAGAGGGAGGAACTGATGACTTGAGGAACAGGAGAAGTTATTGTTTCATCCACAAAACCTATTTTTGTTGGTGAACGTTGTTGCAATACGAGCTTGAGATAGAATGGAAGATGGAAATCGAAGACGGGCAGTAAATATCTTTGACCAATCAAAGTTTTGGGAGCATTTCAACTAAAAAGCTCCATTTGCCACTGCTATTTAAAGGGGCCCTATTATTCTTATTTTCAGGTGTATATCAGTATTTAGTGTCTCTACTTTAAAGAGTCCTCTCCTGCTGATGTTCAGGTGTATATCAGTATGTAGTGTCTCTACTTTAAAGAGTCCTCTCCTGCTGATGTTCAGGTGTATATCAGTATATAGTGTCTCTACTTTAAAGAGTCCTCTCCTGCTGATGTTCAGGTGTATATCAGTATGTAGTGTCTCTACTTTAAAGAGTCCTCTCCTGCTGATGTTCAGGTTCATATCAGTATGTAGTGTCTCTACTTTAAAGAGTCCTCTCCTGCTGATGTTCAGGTGTATATCAGTATGTAGTGTCTCTACTTTAAAGAGTCCTCTCCTGCTGATGTTCAGGTTCATATCAGTATGTAGTGTCTCTACTTTAAAGAGTCCTCTCCTGCTGATGTTCAGGTGTATATCAGTATGTAGTGTCTCTACTTTAAAGAGTCCTCTCCTGCTGATGTTCAGGTGTATATCAGTATGTACTGTCTCTACTTTAAAGAGTCCTCTCCTGCTGATGTTCAGGTGTATATCAGTATGTAGTGTCGTGACATGTCTCCATGCTTTAATGTTCAAAAAGCTCTTTATTTGTCTCATACTGCCTGTGCTGCAGCACCTCTTTTCACCCTCTGTCTGAAACCAGAGCCCAGTCTGCTCTGATTGGTTAGCTCTGTTGTGATTGGTCAACTGCTTAGAGATGTCCTGCCCCTATCTCAAGGGGCCTATCACGTAGAATGTGTTGGATTACGAAAAGCATAAAGGGGCCCCTTGAGAAATCTTTGTTTCGTCCAAAAAACAATCAATTTTTATACAAACTCTGATAATTGTTGCACGAGGAGTACTAAGAAAAGTGAAAAACAAGACAGGCAAGCAGTAAATGTCTTTGAAACGATCAAAGCAATTTAACTTTAAAGCTCCATTTGTCACAGCTTTTTAACTTTAAAGCCCTTTCATGCTGCATGGGTGGTAGCATTGTTCTGGTGTTTTTGTTGTTTACACCAAGAACAGTAAAAGATAATAGGTTAAGGTAAGTTTGCTCGTATTTACATTTCAAACATGCATCTTTATGGTTATTAACAATCTGATATTAAACCAAAATAGGCTTTTTTTCTCAAGATTTATTGGGAGAAACCACTTAAACACATTACATTACATTATGTGTAATGTAATAATGTAATGTAATGTAATGTTAAACACATAACACCCCCATATAACCAAAATGGAATGACCCTGATCCTAAAGGAGTGCAAAAAATATATAATTTTATAAACTTGCTGATATGTTACTGTATATGTGTGTTGTATGACGAAACCTCAATTCAGGCGACTTTGCATTTGTTACAAAATATTGTTGTTTCGTGGAAGTTTGTCATTTCTTTGGTTTTAACTTATTTTGGTGATTTGTGAGTATGTGTTCAGAAAATGTTCTTGATGTTGACTTCCAGCGGTGCTTTGTTGCACAAGCACAACATGTTGTTTTCTAACCATATTCATACCACAAACACTGTGTCCACAGAAATCTAAATGTGTAAAGCTTTGAAATGTAAAGTTGAGGGACTGACAAATGTAACTTCTGATGCAGAGCAACATATGAAACATGTTCAGGCTCCTATGAACCACAGAAGCACAAATACACTTCCTAGTTTCAAAGCTTTCATCAGGAAGCGAGTAGTTGAATTGATGTGAAACTTGTAAAGAGCAGCTGCTGCTTCTGTAGCCGCTGACAGGTTCAAAAAAAGAAAAGGAGTCAAAAATATAATTCTTCAAAGAGGAAAGCACTTTGCCAACATGAGTTTATTTTAAAGCAAACCTTAACTGAGCATAACAAATCCTAATGAATGTCTTCAGTCTTGAGAATCATAAAACGACAAAATATTTAATGCACAAAACAACATTTTTGGGTTTGGCAATATATATAAATACACATATTACACATCAAAGGGGACCTATCATGCAAAATGCACTTTTTGATGTATTTTGTACATAAATGTGTGTCCCCGGTGTGTCGGGGAACTCACACAGCGTCAGAAAATGAAACCCTCTCTCTTTTCCTCCGTACCCAAATCTCTAAAAGCAGGGCTACAACGGAGCTGATCCAGATTTGCGTCCGATATTACGTAATATCGGAAATGTATTCTGGCTTTACACCCACGGCCCTATCAGAAACGTTGCTATCAGAAACAATGCCCGACTGTTTTGGACGTAATATGGTCGGTGTTTACATTAGCATTGCTAACACTCAGAGCTAACCTGTACTGGAGAGCGTGTGTGAAGAAGCAGGAAATACAAAGGAACTCACCTTGTGGTATAACCGGCAAGAGAGAAAGCCTTTGAGCTCCATACTGTTTCAGAAATAATCCTTGATAATCCATGATATGGCGTTTCATCACCGCAGTATTTAGTTTAGACAGTAGCTGCCGGGTCCCGCATGAGCTCAGACCCCTCCTTTTTTTTTTTTTATCAATTTTTTTTTTTTAAAGCTTTATACCCAAAATCAGCACTTTTGAAACGGGAAGTGAAATGGAGGGATATGAGGCATGGCTAGAATGGGTGATCTGTTTGGTATTTTGAGCAAAACACTTCATAGACATGTTTTTTATATATTTTTATATATCTGAGACCTATGCTATTGCCTACAAATAGCATGATAGGTCCACTTTAATATCATGCCAGTGGGATGACCTTGTGATGTATATTTAAAAGAATATTTTACTATATTTATTTGCCGTGTTTTGTCGATAAAACAATAATCTAAATGTTCTTTGTCTTTGCTCACAGCGTTGCTCTACGCCACCATCTTCGGTAACGTCACCACCATCTTCCAGCAGATGTACGCCAACACCAACCGTTACCACGAGATGCTGAACAGCGTGCGAGACTTCCTGAAACTCTACCAGGTCCCTAAAGGCCTCAGCGAGAGGGTGATGGACTACATCGTGTCCACATGGTCCATGAGCAGAGGCATCGACACCGAAAAGGTAACGCCCAATCACCTGCATGCAAGATAAAGCATGCTGCACTGTGATTGGTTAGCTTTGTTTTGGTCTTTATTGGATCATTTACTTCAGACTTTAAACATGAAATGATAGGACAGAGAGACTTTGTGCAGCTTTTCAAGTGAAAGTGTAAGCTCATGGTTACGGAGTGACACACACTGGTATAATTAATGTTACTTTCAGCACCTAGAAGTCACTAATGCTAACAATTCCTCAGACATATTATGATATTGAGAAAAAAAATCTAAATTACAATATATTAACGACCAACAAACTTGAATTTCCTCCGCTGGAAATATCACTAAGCTCCATAGTTGTTCTCTTTTCTCTTCACTTTACATTTTACATTTATATATTCAGTATAATATTTAATATTCCATCTGTCACATACTTATGTAAATATAACACCTTGCTTTATATCTTGTTATTGTTAATTTGTAAATTCAACATGTATATTTTCTACTTTCTTGTTTATTTCTAGTCTTTTAATTTGTATTGTACAATGCCATGTCTTTTGATGCTGCTGCAACACAAACATTTCCCAACTTGGGATCAATAAAGTTCTATCTTATCTTATCTTATCTTACAACTTGCAAAGATTTCTAAATATTTTTCTAATTGCATTAATTGGGCTCTTTTTCTGGACCGTAAACACAACAACATCTGAAGGTGGCCTTACTGTGACCTCAGTCTGACCTCAGTTCGTATAAGTGTTAGAGAAATGACTACGACAATACAAAAAGTGCACAGAGAAGTGTTTACACTGCATGCCACAATCACTTCGGCTCAAATATCCCTGGGTCTGTGTATTTAACTGAAATGTAGGCTGCCCAAAAACATATATCACATTTCCACACACTCAAATCCATGATGCCACCTGAAGATGAATATGGAGTTCACAGCTTTCACTATCTACCTAATGTGACCTTGCATTGACATTCTTAAATGATTCATAAAATAAAAAAGACAGTATTTTATAAAAATATGTATAAAGTCTACTGTTTGAAAATTGTAATTCATATATTTTAATAGATAGGAGTCAGCTCAACATTACTTAACAACTTTAATAATAATAATACACTCAGCCCAAAGTGCTTTACAGAAAACATAACAACAATATTAAAATAAATACAGAACAAGATAAAACATCAACAGTGATCCTAATGAAATTCCCTTGAAGTAAATATTTGACCTCGATATTAACTTATTGTGACCTCATTGTGACCTTATTGTGACCTCACTTTGACCTCTGTAGGTGCTGCAGATTTGTCCAAAGGACATGCGTGCGGACATCTGTGTCCACCTCAACAGGAAGGTGTTCAAGGAGCACCCGGCGTTCAGGCTGGCGAGCGACGGCTGCCTGCGGGCGCTCGCCATGGAGTTCCAGACGGTGCACAGCGCGCCCGGAGACCTCATCTTCCACGCCGGAGAGAGCGTGGACACACTCTGCTTCGTGGTGTCGGGGTCGCTGGAGGTCATCCAGGACGAAGAGGTGGTGGCCATTTTAGGTGAGTGTCTTAGAACTGTAATAAAGCTGGTTTTAGAAATATATTCAGGTAAATGATGACTGAAGGGTTAAGGGTCAGTTTTAGATTAGAGGAATATAAAAAACATCCGACAAGTTCTGCTGTTTCACTAAACGGAGATGATTTATGGGTTTTAGTTTTCTACTCAGAGTCATTGTTAATCTCGTATATTAAAAGCCAATTTGAATGCCAAATGTTAATCTGAAGTTTATTTATTTGTTTAACTACTCTTAGTAAAAAACATGTTTTTAGATTAACAACCAAATGAAAAAACAAGCAAACTGATATTAGAATCCACAGAATAAAAAGAAAAAACACCTTAAAATATATAATGTATTTGTATGTACAGTAAGTAGTTTTTAATTGATCTGAAGAAATAATAAACTGTACAACTTTAGAATTAAATTAGAAATCAAACATTAAAACCTAAGTGTAAAAAGTCCCTGATTCTGTAAATAAACAAAGCACCTAAATCTCAAAGAAGATTTTCATAATCAAATGAATTTGCCCTACTAAATATTGTTGAACAAGGTCTTACATCGTTTCATCCTGCCTCCTGAAAAGAAAGTTTAGCTTCCCTTTGAAAGGTCCATTTGCCACAGTGAAAGTGTCATTACTAAAATAAGGTTGCATTCACACCAGCCTTGTACAGTCCGGTTGTATCGAACCCTGGTGCGTTTACCCGCTTGGTGCGGTTCGTTTGGGTCGGTGTGAACGCAGTCCGAGACCTCTGAAGTGAACTAAACAAAGGGACTCTGGTCCGCCTAAAAGAGGTGGTCTCGGAGCGCTTGCTAGTGAACTCTGGAGTGGTTCATCGCTGGTGTGAACGCAGTCCGCACCAAAACATAGGAAGTGTATTTACGCGTCACAAGAACGTAGATGTCTTCCAAATCTTTAGCGAAAGAGTCTTTCAAGACATCCGCGGTTGTTTAGTTAAATAGTGAAGCAGAATGAAGTGTTGAACAGTGTCGTAACAGTAAAAATGCTCCACCTGTCACCTGTGACAGTCTGTCTGTGAAACCTCCTCCTGACTGCAGAACGTCTCTCATTACTGTATATGTTATAAAGTTTTTTAACGGACGTTGTCTGATTATATAATCATATGCGCGGGTCGCTAGAGTCTGTTGATCTCCAGATTGACAGCAGCATGAAAATAACCTGCCGATGTTCCATGGCAGAGGCTCCGGAAGAAATTGTCGGGATTTGCGTTTTTACCCCCTTAATGTCTGACCAATGGTTGAACAGCATTTCCGTGCACATGACTTGTGTTTAAAGTTTATAGTCCGTTTGAGTTTTGCCCGTGTGAACCCAAACCGATCCTTCTGAAAAATGAAACAATGTAACAAACTGTCGTCTGGTGCGCACCAGAAAACGGACTATTAGGTGTGAATGCGACCTAAGAGACTACCTGTCAGAAACACAGTCCAGTCCCTGTGCTCACACTCGTCCAGCAACACTTCTCCAAGGTTTATAAAAGCCCCTTCAGCAGGAACAAATTGAATTGTCAGGTTTTCAGTCTGAGAGTGAGATGGAGAATTGAAGCTGTGCACCGTCTGATTCCCACAGGAAACACCTGAGCTCTGAGACAGACGGTGAACCCTGCAGTCACCTGCCACACACACACACACACACACACACACACACACACACACACACACACACACACACACACACACACACACACACACACAACACACACACACACACACACACACACACACACACACACACACACACACACACACACACACACACACACACACACACACACACACACACTGCCGCCTTGCTGCAGCAAAACATTCCTTCTATTTTCAACATAGTGCGTAGGAATCATGCTCCAGGGCTCTCATTAGCAAAACATCAGTTTTATGCATGAAGTGTTCGTTTTTTTTTGGACTGAAACATGCTGCCAGTTTTTTTGTTGTGCTGATGGAGGGAGACAGTTCACCGGTTCAGAAACAAACCGAGTCAAAGATGATGGAGGAAGCTGTTGAGGCGGAGCAAACAGCCTTCAGAGTCATCACACTATTCACTCTGCTTGATCACAGCACACGGATATATATTTATATGTAGATTTCAAAATATATACATACACAGAAATATGGAAACAGAGCGCTTAAATAGCTGTGAGGCTCTATGTTTGTAAAACATCAACATATTAGATAAGTTAACATGGAAAGTCATTCAGACATTCAAAGCTGTTGTATATGATGCCTGAATAAAAGGCTAATATAAAAAGCATTTAGACACATGATGAAATGACATTAAAATACATTTAAAACAATATAAAAACAGGTTAGTTGGGTAGTTAGTTAGTTAGTTTGGTAGGAAAGTTGGTTAGTTAGTTAGTTAGTCAGTCAGTCAGTTTGTAAAATAGTTAGTTAGTTTGTTTGTAAGTTAGTCAGTCAGTCAGTCAGTTAGTTAGTTAGTTTGGTTGGAAAGTTAGTTAGTTAGTTAGTTAGTTAGTTAGTCAGTCAGTCAGTCAGTTAGTTAGTTATTTGGGTTTGTAAGTTAGTTAGTCGGTTGTAAAGTTAGTAAGTTAGTTGGTTAGTTACTTATTTTGTTAGTTAGTTAGTATGTTGGTTGGACAGTTGGTTGGTTGGTTAGTTACTTACTTAGTTAGTTAGTTAGTTAGTTAGTTAGCAGTAAAGTGCAGTGTCACATATAGGTATAATATACGTTTATAACTATGACAGAAGTAAAACTCAGCTATAAACAGTATGAACTGTATGTATGGATATAAACACTGTGAAAAGTAGTATAAATATTGAACTCACTATAGAGATATATTGACCCTATAATATATACGTATATTAACTAGCTGACGTATGAATGCCAGGAAGGATTCTTGCCTCGCTTCTGAAGGAAGTGACTCGGAAGACATGTGCTACCAAGCAAGCGTCCTCGACATTGAGAAACACCCTGTGTCTGCATGTGTGACCATTAAGGAGGGTTTCATCCCTCCCAATTCTATCTTCTATATATTTTGATAACTCTCTCTCTGGCTGCAGCTCAGCGGTCCAGCTGCTGGGACTCAGATGCTGAGAGGAAATGAGGCGAGCTGACGGCCTCTCAGCGACTTGTTTCTGTCCTTTTAAATATCTGCTTGGACTTCCAGATAATCACCAGAATATAAATGTTATCAGCAGACTGAATCTGCTTCAGTTCCTCTCTGGATAAATATTTGGACTTCCTCTGCAGATCTCTGTCCGAGCCTCTGGTTTCACATCTACTTAAGTTCCTCTTTCCACGTGTTTTCTTAAAGCAGCTGCATCAAAGCTCTTCTTCCCTCTGATGAATGAAGCACTCGGCGGTTTCATTAATGACAAGCGTTCATCATTTTGACCTCTGATGTGTCGTCATTTATCTCTTTATTTACTGGAGGGGACGGATGATTGTGTGGATGGAAAATAAAAGAAACAGACAGAGCTGTTACATGTTGCTCAGAGAATGGAAATGAAGGATTTTAAGTGAATCTATGTTCAATTGTCGCCACATACACACTGTGACAAATGTAAACTTTGCATCTAACCCATCATAGTATTAGAGGCAGTGAGCAAATATTATACAGCTGCCAGTGTGAGAGACTGGTACCTTGCTTTTATATGACTAAGATGAAGATTGTTAAAGTTTAGTGGAGATGGGAGTTTTTTAGTTTATTCTTTTTAGTTGCCATCCCTGTTTTGTTATTTTATACTCTTAAGACTCTTATACTCGTGAAACAAGACTCACTTATATCTGTCGTAACTAGCCTCATGGCTCAAAAGGTTTGTAGGCTCTGGTTCCTTTTTATGCTTGTTTCTGTTTTGGGTAATGTCCCATTTTTAGTTCATTAGGTGAAACTCTCAAAGTACCTGTCGACTCCCTGGTCTGTGACTTGAAACTGCGACCCTCTGGTTTCCAAGTCAGATTACCAAAGAAATCTGTCTCAACTCTCTAATGTTCATTTTGACCAGATAAAAAAACACAACTTCATTTTATCATCTGATGTGTTATTATCTAACTTAAAATTGAACTTCAAAAAGTCACTTTTATCACCTGTTTCTAAAATATAAGAGGTTCCTAGACACTCATTTCACCAGTAATTCTTACTGAAGCTAATTTCTGGACATATGCAGGAGAGCAAGCAACTTGATTATTTCACCACACTGGCTACTTTCTTCAGACTTTTTTCAGACTATTGTTACATCCACACACAGTGTTGATAACTTGGCTTCTTTCTTGCAAGATTAAGCAGCTTTTCAGACACTCTTAGGGAGGTTATTTCTAAAAGACAAATAATGATTTTGCGTATTAGCACAGGGTTTCCCTCTCTCCTCTCTAAGTAGGTGTGGAGCAGGCAGGATGCAGGAGTGAGAGTTAATATAATATAGTAATAAACCTTTCATTTCTTGTTAATACATACTATATCGTTTAGTAAAAATAAATAGATACATGATATAATACATAGTTTTAGATGTGTCTTCTATACTATGATAGGCCTACTGTACATATGCAGTATGGAATGTTTTCTTCTTCTCTGATAATAATGAGCATTCAATTGAATTTACATCATAGAAAGTTAAGAAATGTTTGTGTATGCTGTCAATTATTGTCTGTGTGTGTGTGTTTCTGCAGGTAAAGGCGACGTGTTTGGTGACGTGTTCTGGAAGGAGATGACGCTGGCGCAGTCGTGCGCTAACGTGCGAGCGCTGACCTACTGCGACCTGCACATCATCAAGAGAGACGCGCTGCAGAAAGTCCTCGAGTTTTACGCCGCCTTCGCAAACCACTTCTCCAGAAACCTGCTGCTCACCTACAACCTGAGGAAGAGGGTGAGTCTGCTCCTCATCACCCTTAACGCACAGATTTACTACATTTTAAAAGGTATGAATCAGCTGTTAAAGTAATGTTTAACAATTGGTTTAACAGAAAGAAAACTGCTCAATTCAGACACCAAATGTGGTTTTATTAACCTGTTAAGCCCTGAGCCTGTTTTTCAGGTCTCAGGCTTGAAAATGACATTCCCAGAACAAATGACCATATCTTCCCTTCTAAAAGGGTTAAATTAATAATCTTTTTTCTCAAAGTAATGATAAACCTGTGAGTTGGATGTAGAAAAGTCAGAATCAATATAGATGTTTTTTATTTTAAAGAAAATTCAGAATTTACATAGTAAAAAACTGTAAATTATAGTGTCCGTCCAAAAATCATTTTTTACTTATAGTGAAAACAACCCTTGGATGATGGGTTAGTAGACTATAAGCTTTAGGAATCCAAAGTACAACATATAATAAGTACCCTGTATCAAGATTGATGCAAAACAAGTGACATTTGACCTTTTTAGAGAGATTTAGCAAAAATAAACCACTTCTGGGGTCATTTGGGTGGATTTTCCATATCTCTGGCCCCCCTTGCTCGATTTTGATGGTTGACACCTCTTTCTGACCGTTAGAGCCAATAGAATCGAAGGGGGAGTCCCCCACACACACACGTTGTGAAGAGAAAAGGTGGGGGCTTTGCGCATGTAATATTGCATCAGAGTGAACCTATCTCTAGCTTTTACATCTGGAAACGGAAAACCTGTTACGCACGGCCCCCCCGGTACCGGGCGGATAAACGCGTCATTTGCAGGAAACAACGTCTAAGGAATCTTAATATTTAATAAACTATGAATGTTTTATATCCATGTAACGGGAAGAAACTCAGCTAACTGATATTTTTAATTTTTTTTTCCAAAAAAAACCCACAATGCTAACACTCAGCCTCTGAATTAGCCACGAGTAACCTAAAACGGCACTTAAACTCACAATAACTCCCTTATTACTTATCCTAGATGCACAGCCAACCACTCGTTTTTGTTCTCCTGGAGACACTGAATCTAGGGGTGCCCACCTCAACACTCAGTGATAAACATTTGCGACGCTATAAACGAAAGCGTACATCATAACATGTGGAGCTAGGTAGCTAGAAACGCTAACATGGCTTACCTTGGTCAAAACTGGTCTTCAATGGCATTAAAACGATAAAAAAACGATGCTGCAGTTAATCCATAGGTTCATCCAATGTATCTGTGTCCTCTTTGAAATGATTTCTGATAATCCATCAGCAATAAAATTGCTTTTTCGTTTCCAAATGCCAGAGCTAGAGATCGCTTCACTCTGCTGCACATTTACATGCGCGCAGCCCCCACCTTTTCTCTTCACAACGTGTGTGTGTGGGAGCCTCCCCCTTCGATTCTATTGGCTCTAACGGTCAGAAAGAGGTGTCAACCATCCAAATCGACCAAGGGGGGCCAGAGATATGGAAAAAAAAACATTTTCACCCAAATCACCTCAGAGGTGGGGTGGTTTTGGCTAAACCTATCTAAAAAGGTCAAATGTCACTTGTTTTGCATCAATCTTGATACAGGGTACTTATTATATGTTGTACTTTGGATTCCTAAAGCTTTTAGTCTACTAACCCATTATCCAAGGGTAGTTTTCACTATCTGTAAAAAATAATTTTTGGACGGACACTATAATTTACAAAATCTGAATTTTCTTTAAAATAAAAAACATTTATATTGATTCTGACACTTCTACATCCAACTCACAGATGTAACCTTGCTTTGATAAAAGAAATTATTCCTATAACCCTTTTAGAAGTTAAGTTGTAGTCATTTGTTTTGGGCATGTCATTTTCGAGCCTGAAACATGAAAAACAGGCTTGGTGCTTAACAGGTTATTGCTTATGGATTATCAGAAATCATTTCAAAGGGACACAGACACATTAGATTAACCTATGGATTAACTTCAGCAGCGTTTTTATCGTTTTAATGCCATTGAAGACCACTTTGGAGAGACTACAGAGCCAAGGTAAACATTTTAGCATTTTTAGCTACCTAGCGTCACCTGTTTTGATGTCCGTTTTTGCTTATAACGTCGACATTTCGTATAATTGAGCAGGTCTTCCTTGAAAAAGAGATCAATGATCTCAATGGGATACACCTGGATAAATAAAGGTTTGAAATTAAATTAAATGAAAAATTCAGTGGTAATGTCGGTGTCCATCGATTCTGTGTCACCTCACGGTGTGAAACGATGTCATGGATGTAGAGAAGAGATAAATAATAAGGTTTTGTGAGTGATTTTCGGTGCAGAAAGGTGTTAGCATTTTTCGCTCGCTGCTAATTCAGAGGCTCAGTGTTAGCATTGTGTGAAAAAAAAAAGAAAAAAGATCAGTTAGATGAGTTTCTTCCCGTTACATGGATATAAAACATTCATAGTTTATTAAATGAACATGCCCTCAGACACTGTTTCCTGCAAGATGTTGCGGCAGTGCCCCGGTACCGGGGTCTCTCGGGCTTAACAGGTTAACATTTGCAATAGTATGGACCCAAAAGAAGAATGATTAAATGACCCAAACCTCCATTACTTTTTCATACTTGACAGGGGAGAATACTGTTAGATTTTACAGTCTATTAAAGTATTAAAGACCCATCGTACAAATATTCATACTGACATTTTTCTTCTGACCCTTTGCACTCCACTTAGCGGTTCCATTGAAGAGGTTTGAACTGACTAACCTTTTATTTTCTATTGTGATGTTTAAAGATACATTTTGTTGCATGTTCATTCCAGCTTGTAAGAGGTATAAGTGTGCTCTTGACACTGGAACAGGGACTTATTTCGATTAAAAAGGACCTTATTATGCTTTTTGGGGGTTTCCCTTTCCTGTAGTGTTATATAGGTTTTGGTGCATGTAAATGGTCTGCAAAAGCTAAAATCCCAAAGTTCCCTCCAGAGGCATCTCTCCCACTCGCTCCCCCCTTGCCTGAAACGCCTCCATAGGACTCCTTTGTTTACTTCAGGAACATAGTGACATCACAATGTAACAATGAGCTTCTATCGGCTAGTGTTCCAATAAGAGTAGACTGCATCTGAAAGCACTTTTTGAACATCAAAGTCAACTTTATTGTCAATCTTTCAGTTTGTGTGTACAGACAGAGAGATCGAAATACCGTTTCCCACAATCCCAAATATAAAACAAATGTATATAAAAATATGTGTGCAATATGTATATATATATATACAAAGAATCAAGGACACATTTTTACATCTGCACACTTTTAGACCTAAATAAAAACACAACAATCAATATATATGTCACAGTAGAGGCACAAAATACAATTATGGAATCTGAAAAGGACCATTGTCATTTTTTTAATCTGCGATAATTCCTATTGAACTGTTGCCTTAGCGTTATCTTTGTCTCATTCTTCCCTTTCATTTCTCAGTCTGATTGAACCACTGTACAGCATTTTGTTCTCCACGTACAACCCAAACACTTCAAACAAAAATAACATCTATTTGTAAAGAGGACTTTCTACTACCTTAAAGCATGAACGACCATTTCAAATAAAGACTAGTCCTCTCGGCCTTCTGACTGAACGCAATCAAGCTCTCTGAGGCAGGAGATTACACACCATTCAATGATAGTGTTTATATACACTCTGGAAACCCTCAAGAGCGTCCTTTTAGAAATCAGCAGCCACTCTTGTTTCTATTATTGAGGACTCAGTCATAGAAAGATAAGATCACAGACAGACACCAAAATGCTGCTAAAATCAGCCCAAAGCGATGAGAAACACACAAACATGTATTTCTGAGCGTGTGTGAGTCTTGTAACCTTGGATTCCCTTGCCGCTCGGTGTTGGAGTCATCTGTTGTTTTTAACGATGAAACTTTACATAAGCGGCTTTGTTCCCGACTCGTCCTCCTCCTCGGAGCAGGTGCGATGTCGGCTGAGCCAACAGTGTGGAGGCGGACGATGACAGGTGACGTGTTCACACCTCAGCTGCAAACACACTCTCTGCTCACTTTAACCCTGAAACCCTCTCTAAAGACAAACATGGGAAACGTTGAACACAAATCCTCTTTATTACTGTTTATTTAATGTGCTCTAACCTGAACAAAGTCAGTCGGTTGCCAAATGTGTATTGCCATTTTGTTTTTCCAGCAAAAGACCTAAACAAATGTCCACAGACGACAACAAAAACGTGGAATAATAAAATAAATACAATATATACAAATCACAATGATGCAGTTAAAGGTGGGGTAGGTAATTCACTTCAGAAACACTTTTTGTTATATTCCATGGAATGCTCTTAACATCCCGATAGCAATGAATATATTAAATGCTTTGACAATAAATACATAAGAAAATGTCATCTGTGGAAGCCGTAATACTGTAAAAAGCACGACCAATCATCTGAGCCGGCCCGGCTAAAATAACTGGATGGCCTACCTGCCTGTCAGCCTTCCATCTGTGCACAAACTTATCTCGTGCCCTCATCGGTCATGTGTGCGTTCGTGTGTGTTGGAGGAGGGGCTCTATAAGGAAGTGGCAGATTTTTTTCGGCTGCGTACTTTCAAATTCTAGCGCACTCGAGCTGGTTTCTCCATTCTTACCTACCCTACATTTAACAGACATCATTATAGTATAACAAGAACATTGATAAATGGGGGGCGTGTGGCATAGTGGGTTGTCCGTGGGTGTTCGGATCAGGGGGTCACAGGTTCAAACCCCACTGTAGTCAGCATGTCGTTGTGTCCCTGGGCAAGACACCAAATTGCTCCTGTGGGGATTGCCCACAGTATTGAGTATGTAAGTCGCTTTGGATAAAAGCATCTAACAAGTGACATGTAATGTAATAAATATCTCATTCAGAAATATACAATAAATAGTAGTAAATAAGAATTAAAATACCTAAACAAATCCAAAATATGTAAATTGACTTGTTGGAGATGTCGATGTTAATTGTCAATACGTTTTAACAGTGAGTTACAAGCTT